CCTCTCCAGCCTCTTCACTGCTCGAGGTGGYCCCAAAGCTCAGCTCAGCACAAGGAAAGAAATCTCAGCTCCTTCAGGCCCCACCAAGGTGGCTCCCAAAAACTGTGGAAGGTGTTTGACARCCTGAAGCTCTGTCTGGTGCCACGTCCCTGCAGCCTCTGCCACCTTCATGACCAGCACCGAGGTGCTCAGTGCTCACTGGCACCCACCCAGGACACGGCTTTAGGAGGAGATGATGGTTCTGCTGAGCACCCCTCCTGCCCTCCAGGGAGCTTTCCATCCCCCCCAAATTCTATTTCCTCTGAGAGCTTTCCCACAGGACAATTTTGAAAGCCAAGGCCATGATTCCAGCTGTGAGAAGGTCTGACCAGGCTTGGATCCAACCCCCAGCCACAATCCTCAGACCTGGGGGAGGATTCCATCCTGGGGATGGTGGTTTGGGAGGAGATGATGCCTCTGCTGACCGCCCCTCCTGCCCTCCAGGGAGCTTTCTATGCCCTCCAAATCCCATTTCCTTCTCTGAGACCTTTCCCACCAGGACAATTTTGAAAGCCAAGGCCATGATTCCAGCTGTGAGAAGGTCTGACCAGGCGTGGATCCAACTGCAGCCATAATCCTCAGACCTGGGGAAGGATTCCATCCTGAGGATGATGGATCTGCTGAGCACCCCTCCTGCCCTCTGGGAGCTTTCCATCCCCCCAAATCCCATTTAATCTGAGACCTCTCCCACCAGGACAATTTTGAAAACCAAGATGGCAATTCCAGCTGTGAGAAGGTCTGACCAGACTTGGATCCAACCCCCAGCCACAATCCTCAGACCTGGGGGAGGATTCCATCCTGGGGATGATGGTTTGGGAGGAGATGATGGTTTTTCTGAGCACCCCTCCTGCCCTCCAAGGAGCTTTCCATCCCCCCCAAATTCTATTTCCTCTGAGATCTTTTCCACCAGGATAATTTTGAAAGTCAAGACGGTAATTCCAGCTGTGAGAAGGTCTGACCAGGCGTGGATCCAACCCCCAGCCACAATCCTTAGACCTTGGAGACAATTCCATCCTGGGGATGGTGGTTTTTCTGACAACCCCTCCTGCCCTCCAGAGAGCTTTCCATCCCTGCCATATCCCATTTCCACCTCTGAGACCTTTTCCACCAGGACTATTTTGAAAACCAAGGTGGCAAGTCCAGCTGTGAGAAGGTCTGACCAGGCGTAGATCCAACCCCCAGCCACAATCCTCAGACTTTCGAGACAATTTCATCCTGGGGATGATGGTTTTTCTGAGCATCCCTCCTGCCCTCTGTGAGCTTTCCATCCCCCCAAATCCCATTTAATCTGAGACCTCTCCCACCAGGACAATTTTGAAAACCAAGACAGCAATTCCAGCAATTCCAGTGAGAAGGTCTGACCAGGCGTGGATCCAGCCCCCATCCGCAATCCTCAGACCTTGGAGACAATTCCATCCTGGGATGATGGTTTGGACACCCCAAAAAAGCCAAGATCTGAGCCCTGCTCCCCATCCAGAGCCCAGCAGGGCTCTGTGGCTCAGCTGAGCCCTGTCCCTGCCAGGACCTGGCTGTCCCTGCTGCCCACAGCACCTGAAATGCCCACGGGAGCAACTTGCCACGATACCAAAGATTTTTTTTTTTCCCTGCAGGTAATGACAATCTGAGCTCTGTCCCAAAGACAATTCTCTCGACCAGGGTTGCACCCAAAGGGTGTTTTGGTGCTGTGGGGAGCAGGAACAAACCCAGGACCCTGGGAACACCTCAAAGGGTGGTGAGGAAGAGGAGGAAACCTGGGATCTCCCACTGAGACCAACTGGTTCATCCTGGTCACCATCTCCTACTGGAATTGTGGAGGTTTTCAGGGATTTGGGTCATTTCGTTACCTGTGAAATGGTGGAAGTTTCCCAACTTTGAAACCCCACAGCCAGCAGTGGGGCAGCAAAGTCCCCATCTCCATCCCCCCAGGACAGCAGGAGGCTCTCAGGGTTGATTTTAACCATTTTTACCCCATTTTGGCACAACCAGAGCCATTTTTACCCCATTCTGGCACAACCAGAGCCATTTTTACCCCATTCTGGCACAACCAGAGCCATTTTTACCCCATTCTGGCACAACCAGGCTTTTCCTGCCCTAACAACAGCGACACCAGACATCAGCACAGAGTGAGAGAAATTTACCCCCCAAAAAATCACCATTCACCTTTTTTCCTGACCATCCCAAATCTGGGTGGRGAATAGGATCAGCTCCTCGGT